CTCTCTCTCTCTCTCTCTCTCTCTCTCTCTCTCTCTCTCTCTCTCTCTCTCTCGCCGTGATAGCCTATAACACATGATCAGTGACAAATGTCGTGTGTGTTTTTATCGAACTTGTCGAAACCTTGGTCTATTCGGAGCCGTGACGTAGCCGTCCGACCGGGCGCATTCCGCGATACGCAAGGATCCGCATGATTCACGACAGGCGTCTATCCTTTCGGTCGGGATCGAATGCACAGTCGATGTGAAGGGGAGCGAGAAGCGAAGGCGTGCGGATGCTGTTGGATAGATAGTTTGAAAGCAAATGTCCGACTTGAGAGAGAAGAAAATAATCGCTCCAGCGCGAACGTTCTTTTGAACGTCAGGACGTTTTCGGAGTGTACACGGTATTTTATAGGCGGCAGGATAGTTTTGTAGTAGACGAGACGGAAGGATTAAAATAGAAGCCCGTCCTGTGTAGCAGGAGGATGACGACGTCGTGAGACGAAGATCTTTAAATAGATTTAATAGATCTGTTTGGATTAGGGAATTTGCCGTCGAAAAATGGGATAAACAAGTCGAAAACTTGGTAGAAGGCCTTTCGTTAAGGGTGAGGGAGGACAGAGCTACTTATCGGGATTATGACGTCAGCGATAAAAATAAATCATTGTCTGGCATTGTGTGTAACGTCAGGAGGGGAACGTAGAGAAAAGAAAATAAAGGAGAAAGTTCCTTGCGACTTACGCTGGAAGGAATAACGTTGATAGAGCTGCCACAGCGGACTCGTAATTCGTCGCGAGAATGGAAAGAGAATCAACTGCAGCGAATCAGGATAGTATACGGAGAGAATATTGTAGGAGAAATTACAATGCAACTTTAGTAGTCGGGAATAGACAAAATGATTATAATTGTAGTAAAAGTTATCATGTTTATGGTCATTTTTACTTTGCTTTACTATAATTTTCGTAACAGTGTCAGTCCATTCCCGAACTACTAAAATTGCATTCTAATTTTTGCTATAATATTCTCTCCGTGTAGGAAAGATTTCATTGGATTGACCAAATGTCTGATGAAGTATGAACGAAGCAGACTTTAGTAGTCGGGAATAGACAAAATGATTATAAATGTAGTAAAAGTTATCATGTTTATGGTCATTTTTACTTTGCTTTACTATAATTTTCGTAACAGTGTCAGTCCATTCCCGAACTATTAAAATTGCATTCTAATTTTTGCTATAATATTCTCTCCGTGTAGGAAAGATTTCATTGGATTGACCAAATGTCTGATGAAGTATGAACGAAGCAGAAACTCCGGTTGAAGTTACCAGAATTTCGTTCAACAAGATTTCTGCATAATCTCGTCAACTTGAAGAGAAGTTCTGGTAATTTCTGATAATTCCTGTGGAATTCGTTCACATTTCACCAGACATTTGGTTGATTCTATGCTGCAATTATAACTGGTGGTTCAGCTATAATTGCTAAGTATTCGGACTTGAAGCCAAAACCAGTAAGAATGTCGGGAGTCGAGTGGCAGTGTTATTAGTTATCCAGGCAATGCTTGCTTTTACCTTAATTGGAGACAAAACTGCTTGAATTTTAAGCGCGACTTCGCGGCGACTTTCTCCTCAATTTTTCTCACTGCTGACATCATAGTTCAAGATGATCGACCCACACGAGTGCCGTCGAGGGAGACTTATGCAACGTTTGCGCATCGCCGACACAGATCACTTTAAAGGCGATCATTCGCGCGAGAGGATATCGCGATCCCAATCCTAATCCTCTCGGAGTCGGTCGATTTACACGCGACTCACGGCGCCCACGTCGCGTCGGCCGACACCGAGGCAAACTCGTGTCCGCAAGGGACGAGGGACTTTGGAATTGGCACACCTTTACGAATTTCAGGCTCAGTGAGCTCGTGCTTGATAGGCGGTCAGCGTGGAGAGAGAAAGAGAGAGAGAGAGAGAGAGAGAGAGAGATGGTTCCGCGTCGCGATACCGAGGAGCACCGTAAGAGCACGCCGGGACGTCCGATCTTCTCTCCTTTTGGTTTCTTTAATTCCACCATGATGCCGTTATGTTAATCTTACGTTACGGCCTAACTGTACCGACCGCGCGCGTAATACATACATATATATTCTTACATGCATGCATACGCATGCATTCGCGGGCACACCTTTACGCGCGAGCAGGTAACGCCGAGGTAATGAGTCGTCGATCGGCTCGATTTTTACGAAATCGCGAGTCCGCCGAAATTCCGCGCGCGCCTGTTCGAATTTCCGAACGACTCCGATCTCGCCCTTTTCTTTTCTTTGATCCCGAAAAATATATTTGCACGCGACGGGGTTAACCGTTTCGGATTATCTCGGCTAGAATATTAACTCGGATATAACGTCGGAGTAATTGAAAGGTTGGAAAGGTGTGAAGAAATGACATTAATATGACATTTCGCCGCGAGAAATCGAGCGCGGTGACCGGTGCGGAAAAAAATGGGGAACAATCTGTGGAACTGTCGGGGGACACACTTGGGTAGAAATAAACGGTATAAAATGCGATCGCGGACGCAAAGGCACGAGCTGTGACAGTAATCTTTCGCGGGGGATCAAAGAAGTCCGTCGTCTGGATTAGCGGACGAACTTTCTACAATTGCGGTAATTTCACGTTTGCGGATTGCTTCGTCGCGTGCGGATCCAACCGCGAATGTGCCGTTTATGGGCACTGTACTTATATCAAAAATTATTCTCGTCTTTTGCACGCGATGATTGTGCGTAGATTCGCAAAAAAAAAAACTCAGAAGTGGTTTTTGAAATTGTTCACGAAAATACATGTAATTATTGCGTGCAAGAAGAAATTCATTCATTTGTGAGAATCATTCTTCCTTGGTACATGATACGTTAAATTAATATAATCAAAAAGAAAAGAAAAAAAGATTAAAAAGAAAACAAGGAACGCGAAAAGCAGAACCAACAAGGACGAGAAGGAAAAAAGGAGAGAAGAAAAAAATAATAATGAATTATGAAAAGAGCCCGTGAAAAGCGAGACATGCTTCATTTATGGAAACGTGGTAATAATATTTTTGCTTTTTAATGAAGACTCATTAAGGGGATGCTGGAGTCGATGACAAACTCGACAATGTCGATAATGCAGAAATGATCGTCATTAATATAATCCCGCTATCCTTTTCGTATTTCTTGTATATACAGAACTTACATGAATGTGTGTTGCTTTATTTTACTATATTCAACGGCAAACCTAACCATATATGTATAGAAATATTTCTGCAAGCTTTCTCGATATTTCTAAGCTTCCAAATGCAAATGCAAAGGTAGAGCAATGTTCTTCAAAATTTTTCTGTTTGGAGTATTCACACTTTCTGCACATACAAGCTGCGGAATTTTTGGATTAGACAAATATTACGCTGACAGCTTGAGATTTTACATTAAAAATTTTTTGTTCGTTTTCGTCGCATATCGAGCAATGTTCCTATTTATTTTTGCACGTATTGCAATTTTCATTTCGTAAAAGCATTTGTAATTCTGTGTAACCAATACGTCGTAAACTTTGCAGAAAAATGTCGGTGTCCTCTGTCGGTGAAGTTTTCAGCTTCCCTTCAAGGAAGAATAATTAATTTATTTCATATAATCTTGCACTCTCTTTCTCTCTCTTTCTTTTTCGCTCTCTGAGATGCTAATGCGTTAATCGAGTTAATTGAGGGAAGCTTGCTAGACCGGCTGGTTCGTATTTTTCCGTGGGCAGCCTCCTAATAGAAAGGAATGCCGCGCGCGGTCGTTTGAATTCTTCGCTTTTCGAGGATCAGGCCGTAATTGTATCTGACACCTCGCAGATAACGATGCAATAATTAATTCGAACTAATGTATAATTTACACGCGATACTCATGGTGTGCGAGCGCGCTCACGAGTCGGGATCGCGACGAAGGAAGGGGGGGATGATGGATATCGCGTGCATTCGTGGCGCGTCCGCGACGAAATCGCCGGCCAGTCCGCCGCGGTTCTTCCTCGAGTGCAGTTCTCGTTGGAGGCGAGAATCGTCTCTTTCCTCGTTCGTTAAGTCGGTTAAATGCCCCCTTGACAGTTCGCGCGCGCGCGCGCGCGACAGTGTCGATTGCGTAATCCGCGAGCGGAAAACTCTTCGTCGTGCGAGAACGCTTCGAGTGAGAAAATAGCGGGTGATAATAGACGGTGAACACGGTGGCGCACAGCTTCGGAGAGAGTTTGTTGCCGTCGTGTTATCGAAGCGTTCGTTATTATAAAAAAAAAAGTTTTAAACTGAGTTACTCGTTCGCGACAAATGTGCGAATATCGGTGAAGTGTGTTTAAAGAGACAGTGGATTGTGCAATAAGTAATTTCGAGTTTCTCAGGTAAAATGAATTCGTATCTGTTCATATCGCCAGAATTTTGTTGAAACAACGTATGCGTCCGTTTGGTCCAGACACATCACTCTTGTTTTGAAAATATCCTCATTATTGGCATGTGAATCTTGAAATGGGATTACATGGCGTTAAACGAAGACACGTTGCTTATATCAATACGTATTATATGTATATATGTGATTCAACGTAGACAAATATATTCTTGCTGGAGAGTAATTTTGACGAATGGAAAACACGAAATAATGAACTGAGAATATAATGTTTTTAAATGTCGAGGGAGAAGATATCATTATCATCAAAATAATTATAATGTACTGTCTGTGAGAATATTATAATTGTAATATTAATTATAATATTTAAACAAAATTACAGAGAGTATTGTTAAAATCCAAGGCTTTGAAATTCTTCTAATCAAATTAAATATTGTTGCTTATATATGAAACAATGATTGTTAATTCGAGTACATTGGTATACTAATATCTTTTTTCCGTCATTCTCCGCATACATTGTTTCACAAAGTGAAACAGCGAGGTAAAGGTACGAGTTTTATCTGAAAAACCCAGATTTCTTAAGAACCGTCTACAATGGGAGTAAAGTATGGCTGTTAGAAATGAGAGTAAGCAATTGACCAATCACAATCGAATGTGAGAAGAATAATCGATTGTGACTGTGATTGGTCAATTCCTTACTTCTTACAGCCGTACTTTATTCCCTGTAAACGGTTCACACACAAGTCGATATGTCGTCGCATCGAGTAACGCACGTGGATTTACATTTATTTGTGCAGAGCGGAGTTGTCATCCTTCGCACCTGCCGGCTGTTCCATCTGCCGCGATAATGATCGACAGTTTATCGACTCGGCGACCATACGTCCACGCTAATCACGTCTGACGGACGATTACGCGCTCCTCCGCCGTCGGGGGGACGTCGTCGCGTTCGCGACGCGCACAGTTTGCCGAATTAATCGCGCGAATTCGCGTCTCTGTCGCTGACAGAGACGTCGCCGGGCGGAAACGTCGGGCTGCGTTTCCGTTTCGGCAGGAATAAAACGTCGCACGCGACGTGTGTGTGTGTGAAATCCAATAAAAGCCTATTCTCGCTGCTGGACGCCAGTCGGTGGAACATGATTCTTCCTCCCACCTGGACGACGGCCCGATGCGTCGCGGCGCGGTCGAAAAAGTCGCGCGACACGATTGAGCGTACTGCGTAGCTCTTTTTGTCACGTCGGATCACCTAAAAATAAAGGTGCGAGCGTCGCGTAGGCGGTCGTATCCTACGGGGACCCGGACGACCTCGCGCGCGTGTCCCTCGTGTCGTGAGTCATTCACGAGTCACGCGTCAAACGCGATTATTTTCCAAGTGTCATCGCGACGAACGAACGCGCCGCTATGATCACGGATTGGGTAAGAGCCCTCCTATGAATCCCACGTTACTTCGAGGGTGATTTCGCAGCTGCGAACGCACTCGTCGAGTCAAAGCAAATAGCGAATTCTGTCAGAGAAACACTCGACACCGACATAAACAGCTTCCGTATTTTGCAGTCTTTCTATTTGCTCGTGCAGAATTGCAAATATTTATTCAGAGTGAAAGTGCAAATTTATTCTGTTATTTGCGAATGTCAATGAACGGCGGAGTATCTCGCGTTTGTATAAAAAAATATTGTTGTTTACTAAATCTTTTTTTGTTCTTTGATATAACACGGAGTGCTTCGTCATTCATTGACGTCTGTACTTTCATTCTGAATAGGCATTTACGACTCTATACAAGCAAATAGAAGAACGTAATAACGAACGCTGCATTATGTGTCGGTATCTAGAGTTCTCTTAACGCGCGACCACACACACAGAAAAATATCATTCCGCTGCTAAGAAAAGCGATTATTCAGTTTATTTTCCTCCTTCTGAAGCTTCAGTGGTTATCTTCAACCAAGAATATATTTTCCTGATAATAGTCTTGAAATATATTAATCGCAAGTTTTAAAGAAATGTTCATTGCATACAATCTAAAGAAGGATTTAGTCTTCTTATCAAGAAATTTCATTGGAGAAAAAGTTGATTTGATTCTATATAGTGAGCAAATTTTGTTTTAATTTAACACTAAAACTACGACGATTAATGACTCATTTGGAACGATTTCAAACGTGTCAAACGTGTCAAACGATTTCAAAACGAAAAGTGTCAAAATGACACGTTTCGAAGAAATATGTAATGCGAAATAAGAAATGTTTATTAGCCCTTTTTAGCTTTATTTAAAATATTAATAAAAAATATAAAATGCATCGTTATGAAATTGAGTAATTTTCATGAGGAATTACAAACGTTTTCACTGCTTTTCGTAATTCTAGTGTCAATACTTCACTGAAAATATTTCAATGAAACTGCTAATCTGCAAACATATAAGTTTATGAAATACTTGTGAAGCACGCGAGCAACATTTGCATCAATGCAGCGTGCATTTTTCTATGTGTAAGAGCAGCCCGCGTTTCATTTTCCTCCAAATCCAAGTTACTTTGAGTACATTTGATGATTCTCCTGCGAGAGGCCATGTCGATTAAAAGCAATTATTAGCGACAATTATAACGACACAGGTCCTCGGATGACTAATGGTTGTTAATCAACAGGTTCTTTTATCTTTCGAACCGTCATCCCGGATTGCGCGCCGTGCAACATTGCATCAATAGAAATCAAAGCGAATAATTAGAAGCCTTGCATGCGCCACGTCATCACCGATGACACGGTGAATCTCATTGTCGCCGCGCAGTGAGAATGAGATTTTTCAACGATACATTGCACGATACCGCATGGACGTGATTTCAGTCAAAGGAGGAAAGCAAAAATATATCTTCGCAAAAAACCTATTAAAATACTTTTATTGATGGTTTTCGAGAATCTTCAATGAATTTTTTAAATATTTCCTCTTTCTTTTTTCGCGAATACCATTTTTCCATGTATACTTGACGTAATCCATCGAGGCGATTTTCAGACACTGTTTAATCGCAACTACGACGCGGAATGCCATTAATAGCTCTTACACACAGGACGCGTCACGTCAATAATACGTGAGCCATGCATTGGCCAATCAGCGTTTAATTTAACCTTTTGTCGTAAGAACGATTTTTATAATTTTTTTTCTTCCTCAAAATCTAGGGATGAGCCCACCCTTCGCGTATGTACGCCCATGCTTATTAACCGTAGAGTTGAACGCGGTGAAATTGAATGAGGTGAACGTCTCTCTTGTGTTTCGACGCGAAACAATCGCGAGTCATCGTAGGTGTGTTGCTATCTCGCGATTATAATCATCGCGGATGCAAGCCGACGCGTTTACCGTGTTACGCATAAAGACGCTATTTGAAAAACCGCGCCTAATGGCGCGATCTGTGCGCGCACGTGGTCGTCGTTACTTAATTCCACTATCCGACGTCCGGACGACTCGAGAATCGCTAATGACGATTATTAATTTCGATCGCGCGCCTCTCGTCACGTTCGCCTGCCCGTTACGGTAATCTGTCCGTTCGGTTTCGAGGCGTAGTGCTCCCCGGGGATTTATTCAGGCACGACTGGGCGACGTGGCGAACTTCGACGTGTGTGTATCCTCGTCGAATGCGTTGCCTGTCGTGCGGACGCGCGTTCAGCTACCTCGCGCTAAGAGCGGATAATCGCTCCCAGCATCGCCGCGCAATTTCGCGTCGTCTCAGCGGGAAAAGGAAATTCTACATACCTATCTTCTAGGCATGTTGCGAGCGGATGAGCGTAAAATCGCGCCGCTGAACGGGGATCAGATGAAAATTCGACAACATGAAATCATAGGTCTGTTCTTCGCAGCTGAACGCACATTTTCCGAACTTGAGGAAAACAGTTACGTAACTGTGGCTTGGTGCAAAAAAAGAGAGAAAGAGAACTATTGCAAGCTACTAGTTCAGCTACGAAGAACAAAACCATATATCTCTGTTATTGCAACCAAAGGTCTGGACCTTTAGCCGTATTTAAACTTTATTAAGGTTTTTCAATAGCAGTTTAAACTTGGATTCAAGTTTAAACTCTATTCTATACGTTTGTTTTGTTTAAACTGAGTTTAAGTTGAAATCTAAGTTTAAACTATCACTGAAAAACCGGCCTTAAGAGAAAAATATTTGGTATTTGCGACTATATTCGCATAGAGCATTGATTGCTTATGACCAAGAAAACTATTTTTTTACTATATAAACACTGAGTATACAATACCATTTTTTAAATTAAATTATACTATAATGTTAGTGACAACAATTTTATATGCATATCATTACTACCACTTTTGTGTTGGAATATGCGAAAAATATAGTATATATAGTTGCCAAGAGCAACTATAATTTTAGTTAGATCAACCATTTTTTTTCTTTGTGTTGGTTGTAATGTCGGTTGCAAACTGAAAACAATTGACTAATGAAGAATCTCTTCCTGCATGAATTTTTCTGTTTCCACCGAGTCTTTCACATGGTTTCTAGTCAGACAAAATGGAGAAAAATTCAGTTGCACTAACGGAATTATTTGCGCGACGTTGACTTCGCGAGGAGAAACGCTTTACAATGGAACTCCGGTTATTGGAATGTAGTTTATCGGGCGATCTCGGGTCGATTAAATTTGCATTAGACCGCGGCCTCGTTGCACTCTACTCCGTGGCCTCTCGTTTGATACGCGTTACCGCCGAGCGGGCTGTCGCTTTCGCATGGATCCTGGAATCCAAATATCGTCTCGTCTCCTCATCAAATATAACTCTGTCGGCAAATCGAAATCACGGCCCGATTGCGAGGATATTCACATCGAACAAATTGACTTTTGTTGTTTTCCAACATACCGATGGGCCACAAATTTGAAGTATTAAGAGACAACACCACGGTAGAAATTTCAAAAAATAGATTTTTTACTTACATTAAAAATATATTAAAAATATATTTTTTAATCACATTTTCTGAAAGATTTTCTGAAAGAGCCTAGCTCATAATACAACATATGTTTTAAGTAAACAACAACACAAATGTCTTTTTAAAACCCACACTAAATACATGTAAAATGACCATTAAAAAAAATGTATTGTTACTTGGAAAAAGAATTCCTAAAGATACTTTTTTCTTCGCCCTGATTATGAATCTTTCTTAAACGGGGATTCCTTGTTACAGCTGGACACATGGTTTGGCCGGCCGAAGAAGTCCGGCCGCGGGGGTGGGATGCGCAACAACTCGGGCAGCAACACCATGCCTCGACCCCATTCCGGCGACGATATCAACGAGATCGAGCAACAGCGTTCCATCATCGAGAGGATGGACGAGGAAACGGTGAACGATAAATTCGAGGAGATGCTGGTGGGTGCAAAGACTTGTAATATAAGAATATATGTTCTTCGTAGAAACTGCCTAAAGTGAAGAGAGTACGGCTTGCAAGAGGCTAATCGCGGTTCCTTGGTGCGACTGACAAATAGGATTACTCACGGGAGTGAATACGAAGGAATCTCGTTTGAAACAAGCTAGACGCCGAATCGGTCTTTATTTTAATCTGAATCTAACTTTCTTGTTCAAATTATCTTTTATTCCCAATTAAGACGACATTAAATTCCCATTTTCAGGTAAACTAACTATTGATTGACTCATTAGTTGGCTTCCCATTTTGTGTTTTGAGAAATGACTTGCTCACTCGTGTGAGCTGATAAATACGACCGATCTGTGGAGAAAAATTGAATCATTGCTGTCTCCATAGGCCAACATGAACCTAACCGAGGAGAAGAAAGAACCTTTGCGCCAGCAATCGGACTCGAAGAAAAAGGAGATGCTGGTCCTGCATTACAAGGGTACCATACAAGACAATCGGTCGAAATTCGACAAGCCGGCCGATTACATTCAGTATCTGGCGCAGCCAGACCTCAGCGTCAACAAGATCTACAACTGCATCGAGTCTCTGAGGATCGCGCTCACCAACAATCCGCTTAGCTGGGTGCAGGAGTTTGGCACGAAGGGACTCAAGCAGGTCTTGGCCACGCTCAATGAGTGTTATCGGAAGTAAGTGTTGCCTCGCGAGTCTCAAGTGTCGAAGCGTAGCGTTTAAGGTTCTTACACACGTACGGATTGGGTCTAACGTTGATCTTGTTCTATTGCAGTGCCTTCATATATTACGATAGGTAATTCACGTAAAAGTACTATTCGCTTGAACGTTTTGTTTAGCGGTCGATTTCGATTCGTTACGTCTTTTCTAACCGCTTTTACGGCAGAGCCCAGTTTTGCTAGTTACTCTGGCCTGATAAACATATTAGTTTTGTAACGAGCCGTTATTGTACGTTATGACGGGATTTAATTTAGCGCGCGCGCGCTGCTCAGTTAACGAGACACTTATAATTTTCACTTAACTATTGTATCTTCAGTTCTTGCATGATTACGCTGCGTGCCGCTTACCAGAGAATCTGTCACGAGAGCTACGTTGGTTCTTTTTACTAATGAAGAATTCATTTTTCCTCAGTGATAGCCGATACGAGCGGATACAGTACGAATGCATTCGCTGCTTAAAAGCCATCATGAATAATACTGTCGGTATTAAGGAGATGTTGGCCCATCACGAGGCTCTCACCATCGTGGCCCGATCGTTAGAGCCGACGAAACCGTCCGTAATGTCCGAAGCCGTCAAGTTACTCGGTGCGGTGTGCCTCATCTCGAGTGACAGTCACAAGAAAGTTTTGGACGCGATCACTATGAATGGCGAGTTCAAAGGTCGCGAGAGGTTTCTACCGATCGTGCAAGGATTGATGAACAAGAAAAATGAAAACCTAAGGGTACGTCTCGTACATTTCGCTTCTTACCAAACGCGTGACGCAATTTTGTAGCCGAGGGATTCGTCCCTTACAAAGTGAGATGTTCTGTCGTAGGTAGTGTGCCTTCAACTTATAAACTCGATAATATCGTCCGCGGAGGATTTGGATTTTCGCTTACATTTGAGGAACGAGGTGATGCGAGTCGGTCTGGCCAACATCCTCGAAACTCTGGAGAAGGACGAGTCGGATGACCTAGCAACGCATTTAAAGATTTTTAACGATCACAAGGAGGAGGACTACGAGGAATTTGTACAGAGATTTGACAACGTGCGGTTAGAATTGGACGATATTAACGATTGCTTCGAAGTGGTAAAACATATAGTGTTGGACACATCCGCCGAGCCGTATTTTTTATCTATACTTCAACACCTTTTATTTATCAGAGACGACGTTCTAGTTCGGTAAGCATGTGTAACAGCGTATTTGTTCATTATTGCGTTTTTACCGATATAAAGCACTAATACACAGATTCTTTCTCATTTGTTTAACAATCTTGTTTGATCTATCCTCAGACCGGCCTATTACAAATTGATCGAGGAGTGCATATCGCAAATAGTGTTACATCGTTCAGGCTGTGACCCGGATTTTAGCGCGACCAGGCGCTTTCAAATTGACGTGCAACCCTTAATCGATAACCTAGTCGAGAAATCACGGGCCGAAGAAGAGCGACGGCTAGTGGAGATATCTCAAAAGTTGGAGGAAGCTATCGCCAGCAGGCAAGAAGCAGAAGCGAAGCTTCAACATGCGGAGAACAAAATCAAAGAGTTGGAGCAAGGAACTGGAGGAGCGAGACCGGCCGGCGGTGGTGCCGTAAGTATAGATATATAGCATTTTTAAATATTTTACTTATACGTTTATCTTTGCGTGAAATGAAGATTCTGACATACGTTGTCTTGTATACACAGAGAACTACTGTGGGCCCACCACCGCCGCCGCCGCTTCCTGGGATGGGCGGCGGACCACCGCCTCCACCACCTCCTCCTCTTCCCGGTGGCGGTGCACCGGTTCCACCGCCGATGTGTCCACCCCCGCCACCTATGCCCGGGTCGAGAGGTCCTCCGCCTCCACCGATGCCTGGCGCACCCGCGCCGCCACCTATGCCGGGAATGGGTCCTCCACCGCCACCGATGGCTACGTTCTCGCCAATTCCGCCGACACAGGTCTTACCACCTGGATTAAAACCGAAGAAGAAGTGGGAAGTGGATGGTCCACTGAAGAGAGCGAATTGGAAAGCGGTATGTGTGTTTCTCGATCAAATTGTTATCGACAGAACATGCGATACTCAATCGGATGTTGATTGAGATACAGCATATTTCCTGCTACATCGAGATTTATACCGTTTTAGATCATGCCTCACAAACTCACGGAGAAGTCATTCTGGATGAAAGTGCAGGAAGACAGACTAGCTAGCCCGGAGATATTGGACGGTCTTGTGCAGAAATTCGCGTCGAAACCAAGTGGGAAGAAAATAGACGATGTGGTCGATAAGTAATTATTCATTATATGATCGTATCAGTAGCTATTCTTAACGTCATTATGCGTGAGGTAATAATGATTACTTCCTTTACGCAGGTCAGTTTCAACGAAGAAAGTGAAGGATCTCAAAGTTTTGGACAACAAAGCAGCACAAAATATATTAATACTTCTCGGTGGGACACTGAAACACATGCCTTACGCGGATGTAAAGACGTGCTTACTTAGATGCGAGGGACCAGTTATTTCGGACAATATATTGCAAGGATTAATTCAATATTTACCGCCACCGGATCAGTTGTCCAAATTACAGCTCTACCAGGATCAATATGACGACTTAACCGAGGCGGAACAATTCTGTGTTACGGTAATATTTTTCACTTGTTTCTCATAGCGTCCCAGGTTAATCGTACCGAGCATGCGAAATGTACGAATGTCAATATTACAGATATCATCGATAAAGAGGCTAATGCCAAGATTAAGATCTTTGAGCTTTATGTTGCGATACGAGGAATTGATACAAGATGTGAAACCTGACATAGTGGCGGCCACAGCGGCGTGCGAAGAAGTGAAGAATAGCAAAAAGTTCGCGCGGATTCTCGAGCTGATTTTGTTACTCGGGAATTACATGAATTCCGGTTCCAGAAATGGACAGGCGTTCGGATTCGAGATCAACTTCCTCACGAAGGTGTGTGCAATACGACTCGCGCGCTAGCGTTATTGTCTGCACCGTTTCACGATGATGTTCTCTTTCCAGTTAACTGGTACTAAAGACGTCGACAACAAACAAACCCTCATGCATTACTTGGTAGACACGATAGAAAGGAAGTTCCCAGAGTGTCTTAGTTTCGCTGAGGAACTGGCTCACGTGGATCGCGCTAGTCGAGTGTCTTTGGACAACGTCCAACGAACACTGCGTCAAATGGAGACCAACATCCGCAATCTCGAGCAAGACCTCGCGAACGCCAAGGTTCCGCAGTGCGACGACGACTTACTTATAAACGTGATGAAAGTATCCTTTGCAAATCTTAGGACGCGCGGCTAATTAATCAGGTAAAAAAGTATTTCCTTGACCAAATCACTTTTACAGCCATTTGCAAAGAAAGCCAGAGAGTCTTACGAGGTTTTGCAGAATATGTTCAAAAATATGGACGGTTTGTACTCGGAGATCTCCGAGTTTTTCTCCTTTGACAAACAGAAGTACACCATAGAAGAATTCTTCGGTGACATCAAAACGTTCAAGGATGATTTCACGGTAAATACGCGTGAATGTGGATAATATCGGCGACTTTGTCCGATCGTCATTTAACATGGCAATTGCGTTCTCACCGCAGCAATCGCAGAGGGAGATAATAAAGCTAAAGGAAGGCGAAGAGAAGCAGAGACGGGCAAGGGAGGCGCGCGAGAAAGCAGAAGCGGAAAAGGCGGCGCGAGCCGCTCGCAAGCGTGCACTAGTCGACATGAATGCACACGAGACGCAGGAGGGTGTCATGGACAGTCTGATGGAGGCCCTACAAACTGGATCCGCCTTCAGCCGGCCGGATCAACGACGCAAGCGACCGACGCGTGTAGCTGGTGGTAAGTTCTATAAGGCCACGTACATCTGGAGGCAAATGACGAAGAAGGAGCAAGCTACTCAGCGATATGCACTTAGAAATAATTTATGCGAAAATTCCGCTAAAATGAAGTATATAAATGTAACGCCTCGCGGGATAGCACGGCGCGACATATTTCGGAGGATTGCGAGAGTACACACACCGGGCGACTCGATAAGCTACTTTACGCCTGAGGATAATCAGGAGCTATACAAGCAAATGTTGATAGATGAGGCTAAGAAGACGCCCAGATTAACGAAGCACATGTCCAGGATCACGTACTTTCAGAAAAGAAGGCAATGCAGTAGGTGTAGTCGCGGGTATTTCACGACGCTACCGATAGACGACGACGAAACTCCGAAGAGAAACGTTCTGCTAGAGACATTTGCAAATTTCGAGCCCAGATGCATCGCTGACACGGCAGACTCGGATATGTGTGTCGATGAGAACGCCTTGCTTCTCAACGAAGCACGTATGCTCAGTCCGGTCAAACAGAGGCGCGTTGTTATTAGTAAGATACGAAAGCGAAACAGTATAGTGCGCCGCGCCATATCAAATCGCAGACGTATACGGGAGAACGTCAGACGCCGCAGATCGCACACGCGCATGCAAAGCCCACCCAATATGAATAGCAGCCTGCCTCCCATCGGGTCAGCTTCGAACACGAATATCGCGAATGTGGGGATGTCAAAGTCGACCGACAATATCTTCGTCAAGTCGAGCAAAAGGGCATCCACTCCAATCAAGCTCTTAAGATCGAGAAACTACGAGAATTTGACGTGGTTCAAGGACGAAAGATTGAACATACGATATAAGAAGAGCAAGTCCTTCAACTCGAGCGCATCGATCGAGATGAGCGGAATCGCGTTACTGTCGGAAAGTAGTCAAACATCGTTATACGCGGTCAAGTCAAATAATTCGATTATCACGACGAAAAGTCTGAACACGTCGTCCGAGGAGGCGTGTGAGAAATTTGCGAGTACGCAGGAGCGATCCTTTTTAGAAACAAGCGTTTTAAGTAAAAGAAGTCATTACAATCAATTCAAGACGTTGAGGCGCAAGTCGCGGAAGAAGAACTGGAAGTTTTGGCGAAAGCCTAAAAGTATCGGAATGTAGTTATATATCGCGTCGAGGACAAGACTGAATCAAACAAGACTGATACGGAAAACGCAAAGACTGAGACCAAGAAAGAGAGGAGTATTTTTTTATAGTCATTGTGACAAAAAGGCGTTGTAAGAAATATATTAGAGCGCGGAGTTCGTCATCCGTTTTTCCTATCGACATTATCTACGACATTATCGGCGGAAGTATATCATGCAAATAATTCCTAAATTTTATTGCTGAATTGATAGCTGCTTAACGATTCCTGAATCATCTGTGCACGATATTACGGGACCAAGACTGTGATACAACTAATGATCTGTGATCTTGCAATATATATTCACGTAGCATTTTATTTCATTGCATCTAGTGTGCTTCAGTCAAGAATATATACTTAACGAAATAATCTACTTTTAAATGCTATATGTACCTGACACGTGTAAATGTATTCTATTCAGTACAGGATAATTGCAGAAATCGTTGTGGGATGCAAAAGTAAGATGCAGCCCAATCAGGATGCTCTTATTGAGCCACTTCGATCACTTTACATATGCAGACTGCAGAGAATTCGATTTCAAATGAATATGCACTTTTTTGCGACAATTTCTACTGATAGTGATATATATTACACTACGATGCTAAAATATAAACTTTATATATATTTAAAAAAATTTTTTTTTTCATTATAAGTTTCGTGGAATGCAGAATGGTCAAAGCATGATTGTCAATCTATAAACACCTCCGTTTGTATTTCAAGTTTCGGATGTGACGTAGAGCAATATAAAAAATTTTCTTTCTAATAAAATGTATTATATATATGGACTGTTTTTGTATTCGGAAATATGTATATCTGCAATTAAATGCATAAGAGTTATTCGCTTGTCTCTGTTGCTTTCCTTGATGTATTCAGTGTTGTGTGTCGTACCATTTTGCATTGCTCCACGCTGCCTCAGGATAAACGACGTTGATACGCCGTTTGCAAAGTGCAAATATGGCGTGTCTCTCGTAATAAATTATGTAAGATCGAGTGGTGTGCAGCTCCCGAATGCACATTCCCCTGCGAGCCGGACATTCTCTCATTTCGAAATACTCTAACATCTCGTTTCGTTAGCACGCGCGCACACGAACTCCGCAATCCCCGAACCTAATCGAGTAACGAGCTCAATCCTGTTTTAATTTTACAGCGGAAAGGAGAGCGCAACTAAATAGGAGTCGATCGCGCACTGGATTAGTCGGATCTGGTTTACTAGGGAGAGAACTTTCGACGTAAGTATATCTGCACATTAAACGCGCGATAAGAAGAAGGAATGCTTGCCGGGCGAATGTACTCGCCTGGATCGCACGCTTCGTCTCGTACATGTATATTACATGCACTGTAGAGATAATATTTCCGGAGAGCGGGTAATACACGTTGCCAACTTAATTTTGCATTTTCTCATTTGTACGCGCGTTGTTGTTGCTCGCATTGCCGGCCAGCAGCAGCAGACGTAACGATCGGTTGGTGAGCGCGTAGTCTTGATTTTACTAATTACATCTCCATGCGTCCCCCGTTCCCCCCACGTGAGTGATATCGCGCTCGTTTGCTGAAAGTAGATAACGATCCCCGGCAGCGCTCGACAAGATAATGACAAATAATTGCTCACCGCTAAATAATTCGTTCTTGAAGACGCGAGTGCCGTAATTGCCTTCGTGTGCTTCCTGCCTAAGCGCCGTTTGCGTCGATTGGACTTGTTACACGCGCACGAACGTACACACAACAACGCGCGAACACACGCCTGCTGCTGTCGTAGTACCTTACCTCAGTCCATTGTTGTTGCAGAGAGCTTTTAAGTTCGGCATAACCTACCGGAATGTGTGTCCCGTTTCCGTCCTAAACTCGTTGCTGTGATGATCTCGCACCTCGTGTATCGTTGGAACGACAGTGGATGAGGGAGAACATCATACGACACGATAAATCGATATTTGGGGGAGGAGAACGCACGAGGAAACGCGCGAGAGACGTCGGCGATCATCCGCCGGCGCTGACGAGTTCTCTTGCGGTTTTTCACGTTAAGTTAACGAAGCAGACGTGAGCAGAGTCTTCCTTTTTATGCATTTGAACGGATGTAACGTATTGTAACGCACTGTACAAATATATGTAATGAACGCGCGACTGTGTATAAGTGAAGCTGTACCTTCCGCGTCGGTCGCTCGGCGAGGGGCTCGGCGCCGTTCACGGGTTTAGTACAAAGGAGTATTTTCGCTGCCACAGTGAACCGTACTTGTAAATACGCACGCAAAAGGCGAACACGTGTGTGGCGATTCATTGAGGAGGTCACTCGCTGCGCAACGCGCGCTCTCGCTCGTTCTAGCACATTTTTACTGCCGTCTCTACCGAGTTGAACGCGCGATAGACTTGCATTTATTTATATACGTTGCTGTAAATATCCCATCTCGGGAATCACATATACGTACGTATGTATGTATGTATGCATGCATGCGGCGAACGCTGCGACTCGTAATATAATTATTATCGCGGCACTCGAGAGAGAGAGAGAAAAAGAGAGATGCATTTTTGCGAAGAGATGGTATACTTCGGGAAAGCGCCAGTGATGGTCCGCGCAAGCGTTGAAAAGGCGGCGGCAGAGTGTGCGCGCATTTTCGGCGCGGCATCCTCGTCGCGTCCGCACGCGATGAAGAGGCGGCTCTCGTATAATTATCGCTTGCGCCGAGATTACGAAATGAAAACGGTAGTGGTAATTTACCGTAATGACTCCCCTCGCTGTCCCGACGGGACAGCCGCGAGGTGTGCGTAACCGTTTACATCACCCGCGGCTCGTAATTCTCGATAGAGGACGTTCTCCGGATACACTCTCGGGGAATGTTCGATACACTTTGCCGTTTGCAGAGCGGATTTTCCCGGTACGTCGATTCGACGCGCACCGTAACGGCACTAGTGATAGAAAACGCGCTATATATATCACGTCCATTATCATACGTATATCCTTCTGGACAGACGCGTGTCCGTATTTTGGAGCTCTTTTTGTATACGGAAGTATCTCGCTACCGACGTGTAATACGTGTCACAGCGCGTTAACGACCAAAAAAAAGAACTGAAATTATCTTTAAGAGAAACGACGTATCCGGCGCAACGTGCGCATTTTGTGATAATGAACGGGCCTGGTAGCAGCCTCACGGCGTCTTAGCAGTTTCACGGTACTTTCAACGGCGACGGTGAGAGAAACTCAGGGAGAGAGGCGAGGTGGAAATCTCCGAAAACGGATACAGCGACGGGAACACTGTCGAATCCGAGCTCGATAATGGGCGTTGCGCAACACCCGCGTTATTCGCGTCCACGTCTTTGCGCGAATAGAGAACGATCGACGAAGAAGCTACTGCTAAAATAATGAACGGAGCGAACGTTAACAAGTCGCCAAGTAACGAACGGAGATCGTTCGATTTTCAAACTCTAGGCGCGCACTGCCGGATTCGCAGTGTTGACGGAACGTCAATTAACGTTTCCGCTGACGGACGACGCTTATTTGAGCGCGGGCTTGGAGCAGATGTATATTCTAAAACGTCGCGTCTCTCGCGCGAGAGAGACTCGTGTAAATAATAAAGCCTGTCGAACGCGGCGCGGCGTGTTTCATTCTTCGTCCTTGTTGTTGTCGTCGTCGTCGTCGTCGCAGGGGATGACAAAATAGTCGCGCCTGGAAAATTGCGCTGCACGAACGTTGCAAGGACAGAGAAAGAGGCGACGTCGCGTCGCTCTCAGTTAACGCGCGTAGTAACGCGCGGTGGGGCCGGTATGCCAGGCACGTTTGAAATGTCTAGCGAAAGGCGACGTAACGAGCCGGTTCTTGAAGCCGCAAAAATCACGGAAGTATCCGCGACGCAGTCGCCGCCGGCCGATTTTCGGACGTCTTTTTAGGGTCTTTTAGTCATTCCGTTGCACGCGCGCGCACGCATTTTTGTACATTTATCGGCGACGAAACGCCGGGGGCCGCGCGTTTCACGCACACGTGCACATTCTACTACAGCACAGCTTTTGTACGTATTGAGTGAGAGAGAAGTGAGTGAGGTTGTATGGATGTGTGTGCGTGTGTATGCGTGAGAGAGCGCGCGTTGGAGCCGGTCATTTTCCCGAAGTAATTATTATACGTGCCTGCGAGAGGCACGACGGAAACTTAAGTCATTCGCCTATCGATCGAATCTCGTAGTAAATGAATATTTGTTAATATTGTAGTTAGGACTACATTGTACAAGCATTGATTGTATCTATATTGTGAATACGCGATTCTATAAATATTAGCTCATTATTATTATTATTATCTACTGTGTTATTCCTCAACCCTTTATTTGTTAATGTTGCCCTAAAGCAACATTAATTTCTCATAAGCTATATGAAAGAAGAACGGATGCAAAACGTACTTATTTAGCACTATTGTTAAATCACCTGTTCTCTTGGTCGATGTCTCGATGATAGTTTGATTTTTGCCGTTAGGTGACAAAAATCGTGAACAATTTTTTTGTCGAAAGTGGCATTTTGACAATAATATAACCGTATTCAGGAGATATAATTTACTTCATGAAACATTTGAGCATTCGTTTTCTCAAACCTTTTTAGACCTGTCAAAGGGTTAATACTTTCAACATTGTTCCGTTGTGAGATATTCACAGACTCAACACGTTCGTCGAGAACATGATTCTTTTCTACTGTTTTCTATATGATAGTGAACACAATAGTTAGAACACAATAGTATCGAAAGATTAGAATTATCTCTTGAATTTTTTATAACGTTTGCTACATGTATCTATACGATATAAAATTGAACTTTACGACAGTCCGACAATTCACGTACATTGGGTGCGTTCAGAAAGCATAACAGTTGTGCAATCATTAAGTGATTATTGCCTTTGATCAAGATACCCTTTTATACTCATGATGTATGTAGAAGAATATTCCAACGACAATAAACGCTCACTCGATCGTTGTGCTTTCTGCGGTCTACATGTCGACATACAATTAAATATATACAAAACGCATTATTATACTTGCGCGCAGCTGCACGAATGATCCGCAAGATGCAAATCGAACGACACGGCAAGCGAGAACGCAAGGAAATCGAATCTGATTACTCTGTCTCGCCGAACGTGTAATCCTCGACTCTCTCGTGGACGCGATCCAGAGTCCATCACGCCATGGAACGCGTTAACGTCGCGAATACCGGGAGAAATCGAGGGAACGTAAGCGAAACCGGCGGTTGCGCGTTACCACGACACGCAGTCACGCGTATATTACACGTGATATCGATCGATCGGATTGGAGAAACATACCTTCATCGTTTGGTCGCTTCGTGTCGAGGAGATACTCCCGTTCCGGACATTTTTCTTCGCGTTCATGAGGACGAGGACGTGTTCTACATCACGGTCTGGTTTTCCTCGTCCGCTTGCGAAATCCTCCCACTGTTCCATCGTGATACACACCTCGAGCAAAAATCGTCTTACAAATCGATTGTCGAACCGAAGGATACTTATTTTAGTAGAGTAAGATTCTTTTAGAATCTTACAATATGGAATATATGTACATACATTTTATGTTGAAAGTTCAACCATTTAAGGATTAAAACGATAAAAATGATCAAGATTAGGCGCGGGCATTGGTGTTTTTACTACATACCACTTAACCGCAAAGTAATTAGAAAACTTGGACGATTGTGACGCGCTCTTTTTTACTTGGCGCCATATTGTTACAGAGAAAAAACTGATACCTCGATCTGATGACCTCGAGTGCCACAAGTAACGCAATAACGACCGTGACGTTGCGATTCTGCGTTGACATATAATTCCCGTTACCCAGATATAATAGTCACAATAATTACACAAATATATACCTGTCGCTGCACGAAGGAACTCTATGATTACTCGATCATTCCTTGCCGTCGAAAGCCATGGAGTGCGGGGCGAGATGAGACGAGCCCAAGCGATACCTCGAATCGACTCAGCCTGCAAAACAAAGTTCGATACGACTCTATCGATAGTTCCTAGCCGTTTCCACGGGCGATTTCGCGGCTCATTTCAGTGCGGACGTGTCTGTCGCGCAGTTTTCCTGTCGTAAAGCGGTGAACGATGTTACGCAAGGCCGCGGGATCTGATCCGCACGAATGCATACTTAACGACTTTCGAACGCGCCCTTTCACCGAATTCGAACGCGCTCGTTAATGTCGTCTCGCAGGAATGCACGTCTCGCGCAACGCATTCACGACGATAACGCGGCGCTTCTCCGTTCTTTCGGATGCACGTACCTCGCTGAATTGGCGATCTCCCTCGCGTTCTTCACGTACGGCGAAGAAGGAACGGCCGGCTCGACCTTTCCCGACGATATCGTCCTCGTGGATCCGGTCGGCGGTCCCTCAGTGATTACGCCATTGCGATCGCGGGAAACCGGCGGCACAGTGAGACGCGATATATGGCTGCCGTTGCCGAAACTTACTGAGGGAAGCGCTATGTGACGTTCTCTACAATGTCCGTCTACAATGAAAGTAAAGTACAGGTTGTAAGAAGTAAGAATAAGAAATTAACCAATCACAGTCAAATGTGAGAAGAATAATCAACTATGATTGGTTAATTTCTTACTCTTATTTCTTACAGCCATACTTTACTCTCATTGTAGACGGATATCACATACGCAGGCTAATGCCTGTATTATGGATTGAGGATTGCAATCGGATCAATAAAGTAATTTAAATCTTAGGCCGGTATTCATAGTTGAATCTTATATTTAAGACCGTCTTAAGTTCCTCCTCAGATGACGCACAGATTATTTCATTGGCTACGGAATATTCGAAGGGAAACTAAGACGGTCTTAAATATAAGAGAGAGAGAGAGAGAGAGAGAGAGAGAGAGAGAGAGGGGGAGAGAGAGAGACCCGACTATAAATATCGACCTTAGTTCTGCTTTATTTGGTTGGTCCGATAATCTTCAATCTATAATCTGATTATTAGGGTCACTTTTTATTAAGCTCCGATAAACTAGCCGTTCGAATAACTTTGCAGGAATCTCCAGCTGAAAAGCTGGTGTTGGAGAAAAATAAAAAGCGTTCCAACGTCCTAATATAATATATGGAAAAAAGATTTGGTTGAATTAACCAAATATCTGGTCGAATATGAACGATTCAGAAATTCCAATTAAAGTAACCCGAATTCTGTTTAAGTTAACAAGATTTTTGGTTGGCTTAAACAGAATTCGGATTACTTCAATCGGAATTTCTGGATCGTTCTTATTCGACCAGATATTTCGTTAATTCAACCAAACCTTTTTTTCCGTGTAGAAAATTTCGTTAAAATGTGCACTTTTATGCCTAACTGTAGCGTTACTAATTCACATTTGTAACTCCTCATTTTTCATTTTTTTCCAACAGCAGCTTCAGTTTGAACTCTGCAAGTTTATTGAAACGGTTAATTTAACCAGGGCTTGGTAAAAGTAACCCTAAGTTCGCTTGCACGCTCTCATGCAAGCATCATTCTCTCTTTCTTCGGCATATAATGAGGGATAAAGATAGAATAATGCTTTCAGTACGAGAGAGTGTAAGATGAACTTGACCGCAGTCAATTGTAACCAAGTTTTGTCATCTTATGCACGACAGGTGAGTTCTTATCTCGTGTATTTGTTGCGGAATATTTGTAAACTCAGTCATCCTGTTAGAAAGTAAGTTTAGGCTTTTCGTAACGCCTCCGGCGTTTGTAAACACGTCGGGACTCAGAAAGACGGGATTTAAAAGTACCTTACGGCACATACATGCAGATCATATAACACTGTCACGCCACTGTTGTGTTCTTTTTCGTGCGAGTTTTGCTCGAAGGCTTTTATTCTGGAACGTAATACAATACTGTCACACTCGCGTGATCAACGGTGCCCGTCTCCACTAACATTGATTATAACTTAATCTGAGTCTTAAATTCTATCCAAACCAAACAAGAGGTCTGTTTTCTATAGCTGCACTTTCTAGTTATCATGTAATCTTTCGATTTCCTTCTCTCTTTCTTTCACCGGATATATATATCTACTTCACTTTAAATGCAGACAGCGCGACTTAATGCAACGATAAAGAACAAATCATTAATTATTACGCTTTTCGCGTGAACTTGACTTTATTTATCAATCATGTAATTTCATTCCCTAGTATAAAATTATGGAAATAAGTAAATAAATAATGAATAAATGAATAATTTTATAGTACTTGAAGACAATCTTTCCCGGCAATGTAAGCTCGCGAAAAATAAACATTTCCATATATCAAGGTTAGATCTTTCACGAGTTCACACTAGGGGAAAAGATTTATGATTGATCTCTAAACTCAAAATAGTCGAACGTACGATCGCATATAAAAAAGTTGTAATTTTCGGGCTGGTGAACTTTCCGAGCAGCTTCAGTTGGAATCCTGCAAAGTTACTAAAACGCTTCCCAAGTAGAACAGGTTGCCTATTGGTTAACTTTTGGAACATATCTATAAGATAATAAGTTAATGATAAGATAACAATAATTCGTCTCCATTAATATGACATCGATTAAATAACAGTTTACAGTTGGTTAATTCATTAGTTAATTCATTAGAAGCTAGTTCATTTACGCATCTTACAGTTATCATTTAATACATATTTAATTTGTACCCACGTACCAACTTGATACTTTTATATCTAAATAATATCTTTTTGGATATTAAAAGTTATCTTTCGGGCGGACATTAGATAACCTTTTCAGTAAACAGAAACTTAACTTTTTTACCGAAAATAAAGTTATCCTGACCTAATTTTACATAACAAAATGAAATACTTTAAGATAACGTTGTTCTACTTGGGTTAGTTCAACCGGAGAGCTTGGTAGAAGTGGGTTCATCTTGAAAAGCAGTGTACGCGCTGCACGGCGTGGCGCGGCGTTAAAATCGCAAGGCACGCGAGAAAGCGTACGAGCTGACGATTTGAATGCGTAACCGGCATTTACCCCATTGTACGAACAGGTAAGCGAGCAACACGCGATCAAGTCCCCGGCTGTCATTTAACGCCGCGCACTGTACCTATAGGGAGACGTACGCAGTCGCGCCCGCGCGCGCGCGCACGCGCGTGTGTGTCGCGTCGCGCACACGTAGTACCGCGCCGCGCCGCGCCGCTCGGCCGGCCGAGAGCGCGACAGTCCAATACGAGCGTCCGCGCGGTGCGCGCACCAACCTTCGTCCCGAGCACGACGCGACTGTTCGAACGATCGACAACGATCGACGTGGGCTTACGCTCGCCTCCGGACCAACAGACGGCAGTTCCTCGTCGTCGCACGGGTTGTCGCGAATCCCGACGTACACGGTCGAGCGTGTCGTGGCCAACGGCGCGTCGTACTCGGTGAGTAAGCGTGTGTGACACACACATGTGTCGGGTTTATAATTCCGCCGACGGTGTCCGTGTCACGCCGGGCCGCCATCGATAATCGCGCTGTCGTGCTCTCGATCGATTCGCCGCTGTCGCCGGCGCCGATCGTCGAAATCGAGAGTCTCGAGTCGGAGTGCAGTTCGCTTTCGGAGGCAACGTCGTACGGACACGCACGCGAGCGAGTAAGCAAGAGAGAGAGAGAGAGAGAGAGAGAGAGAAAGACAGTGCCTTCTCGGATTCGGATTCCGCGCGCGATCGGTCGCGCATAGTGCGTCGTTTCAACGGTTACCCGACGCCGTGATTTGAACTCGTTACGTGGAACGCCAACGTCCACGCGTGGGACGTTCTCTTGTGGAGTCTCATAACGTCGGTCAGTTGACGGATCAGTTGTTTCGCGTCTCTCGCTCAAATCGCGAGCGTCGACGATGCGCGACGAGCGCGACCAGTCCAGTGCTTTGGCGGTTCGATGGTGAGATCGACGATCGATTTGAATGGCGACGTAATGCGACGACTACAATGAACGTGCCGATCGTCGCAGGGGACGTCGTCGACGACGGCGGCTTCCAACCTCGATTCGTTCGGGTAAGTGCCACTTCATGCCTGTAATCTACCTCCGAAATTTCACGGTCTCGTAATTTCGAATTAGCAACCTTATCGCGCGCGCTCGCTCAAGGACGGTCATTAAGGGGATGTCCAAGTCGATGACGAACTCTGGAAGTGTCGATAACGTAGAGGCGTTAGTCACGCTATTCTTTTCGAATTTCTTGCACATATAGATCTTGTCAAAATGTGTGTTGCTTTATTTTACTGTATTTTGTGGTAAACACGCATATGTAGAAGCCTTTCAGCAAGCTTTTTGTATATTTTTGAGCTTCTAAATTCAATTGTAAAGACACAACAATGTTCTTTGGAATTTTTCTGAGAAATTTTCAGGTATGGCGTCCCCTTAATGTTTCGCCTTTACGGGCGATTGTGCGGAATTCCCTTGGAATTCCGGGTGTGACGATCGAGCGTCGATGGTTTCCATCGAATCATCATTCGTCGGATGATCGCCGCGGAAAATCTCGCTGCTCGTACTTTCACTTTCGCTTCTATCTAGCGAAGCATTCAGGGTCGCGTTCACCGTTAAACGTCGCCGTTTTTGCACTGCCAAACTTGGATTTACTTTTGGCTTAAATTTGACGCGAATTTCGCTCAGCTCACGTGTCCCTTTTAGCCTTGAATACCTTCGACCTCGCGTGGTAGTATACGTAACGGCGAACGCGAAGGCAAAGTTGTCTGCGCTTAATTCCCGACATGAAACCCCGAGACGAGTATCAGTCATGTTCAGTCACGAATGACTGAAGGGGGCGAGACAAGCTAAAAATCAATATTTAAGGTAAAATATCCGGACACGTACTTAATCCTGGATATTTTTATTTTCTGTTAGAACAAGTAAATGTGTTGTTACATTGAGAAAAAATACTTGAAGATTTATTTGATATTAAGTTTATTGAATAAATTTTATTTTTCACAGAAATAAACTTTATTTCACAGGAACAAACTTCCACAAATAAACTTTCAAGTATTTTTCCTCAGTGCAGTATCCACCGAATAAATATTTTTTATTTTTTAAATATTTTTCTCTCAGTGTAGTTTTTTGAATATGTACATATATTTTATATTGAGAGTGTAAGTATTCGCGTGTTTAAAGAACAAAATCATAAGAATGTCCAGGATTAGATACGTGTCTGGAAATTGGTACTTTTACCTTATTTACGCGATGCTCATGACGCGTAACGAGCATACCGCGAGAAAGGACAGGTGTGATATCATTGTGTAAAGAAAGACACGCGACATATTAAACACACGTGCATGTTGCATGCGTAAGTTGAAATTTCGTGGGGACCCTGGCGTCGGATCAGGGTTATATTGTGCGATGAGCTCACATATCCCGTGGCAGCCCCGAGAGATCCTTGAAAAATAACGCGCGTTACGTTGCGTATCGCTTGCGATCAATAGCAAGCAAAAGCAATCACGCGAAACACTTCAGTAGATACGTTTGTATCCGCGCTTTCGTAAGTACGAAGGAATTTGATAAAAACAGAGATTTTTTTGTTCTTACGCATTATCGGACGTGTGTGATGATGTTTGTCTCCTAAACAATAAAGATACGGTATATCCTTTGTT